TGAAGATTTATAATAAAGAGGGGGGACTCTATTTCCTGAATGTTTAGAAAAAACCTCCCCCCACCACAAATCCCCCAATCCGCCCCCCCCCCCCCCCCCCCCCACCCCCGCGGCCGGTAGATATTACTTTTCCTACGTTTATTAGAGGACGCGAATGCATGACAAGAAACTTTCCTTGCCCTTTTTTATCTAGTTTGGCGTCGCTGACAATCAGCTCCAGCTGACAACTTGACAAGGTTGGAATAATCGTGATGAAACGGTTTGAAAGAACGCGAATTCACCTTCTGTGACGTTTTTGCGGAGCCGTCACAAAATGACAAAATGCTAACGAAGGACGAGGAATACCTAGAGTCAACTACCAAAGCAGATAGAAATTAAGGGAGGACACTTGAATTGCTAAAGTGAATCTTCTTACCTCTAATTTTTTCACGTTAATGTCATCAACCAGGAGAGCGGTAAGCGATTTTGGTGCGGAAACGGCCAGTGCCATGTTTGCTTCAAAGATGTTTATAAAAAGTTTAGAAAACAACATCACATTTTTTCAGAATAATATTTGCTCCGAAATTGTGGAGAGAACAATGTAATAGACGGACAGTAGAGAACTTAAAAATGTGTCTCAACGCAACGGGTTGCAAAATGAAATGTCAGAACAAACTTACGTTTAGTTCACCACCGTGTATGTTGTCGCAGTCAATGCTTTTGTTTCCGTTCTCTTAATCTGGCCCAGAAAAGAAACTGAACAATTTGCTTTTCCGGTGGGCAAGTTACCTATCTGACATTTAAAATTTTAAAAACAATAGTTTTGAAGTTACAAAGAAGTAAAACAAGGCAGGGTTCAAGGCTTGGCCAGTTTTTCTGTCTATGAGCGAATACGTCAAGCAATCATGACGGGATGCAGGTTTTGTGAAGGAAAACTGAAAGGAGATGACTGGCATACTGGTGCCTTGACAAAAGCTTGTGGTGTAAGCAAAATTAATCATCTAAGACTAATCACTAAGTTTTTTTCTCGTTACAGCGCAATGCTGCCATTTTCCCACCATGTGGTACTCGAAAAATCTCGTCATATCCACATGCACTCAGGTGTAAGCAAAATTAATCAGCCAAGACTAGTCACCAAGTTTTTCTCGGTACAGAGAGCCACAATGCTACCATTTTTCCAAACATGAGGTACTTGGAAAATCACGTCATTCCTACATGCAGTCAGGTACAAACTCCCTCCGATTCCCTGCTGGATTCCCGACTTTTTGTAGCCATTTTTGGCTAGGCGATCTTAATGTTGGCTTGTTGATATCGTGAAAATGTCCATTGTTGTGTTGTTCTTCCCCTTTTGCATGGATTAACAACCAAGTATTCCTTGTCCTTTGAAATGTCAAGGCATGTTTCTGACCACACGTGTACTATTGTACCCTGAAGAAGTAGAAGAAAAACATCAGTGAACGGAATAGATCATTTTAGTTCAGTTTATTGTTTTGCCATAGTGATGTAAAAAAAAAAAGAAAACCTAATTAAAACGCTAATGGCGAGGAAGCTTATTTGAGTTGAGTGGGAGGAGGAGGGGGTGTGGTGGGACGGGGCGGGGCGGTAAGTGAAAGTCACGTATCCCGGCCAACGCCCAAAGATTCACTCTTTGTCCCATCATTCTCTCTTGATTTAAATTATTTTACAGGCAATGATTATGATTTGAATGATTTTTTAGCCTTTCTACTGAGTTCCAAAACGACTTCCGGTGAATAAGCTTGGTTCCTATTTCAAGGGAGTGAACCAGGCTTAGTAGTACACTTTCCATATTCAATTAGTAAGGTATTGAAGAATTTCGAATCAATTTATAATTGCTGGTTTGCACGTGACGTCACGGAAGCTGTGTTGGTAGTGTGTTAAGGTTAAGAACAAAAGCATTTCTCTCCTCTAAACTACACTAAACTAAAAATAAACTAAACCCCATTTTCATGTAAATTTTTCGAGAAAAAATCTATTGCATTGACTACCAACACACCATCAACATGGCCCCCTTGTTACGTGTTTGCAAGCCAGAGAATTTAACCTTGTTTTTATCGTGTTTCCATTCTTGGTTTCCTTTAAGACCATGACACGTGATCATCTCCACAAAGCTTCCCGGCGCGCTCCGCGGCGCGTCCAAACACTTGTCGTCATTAAACTGTATTTCATTGATCCTCGTCAAAGTGAAAAACTGGAAATAGTAAAATTCAGTCCGTTCATTTGGGGAGTTTTAAAAAGTGCTTGCCGAATAGTGTTACCTTATAGATCGTTTTCACATGACTTCACGGCGGCCATATACAAAACAAAATGGCGTCCATGTCGGTATACCAAAAAAATCTCCTGGGGATTTGACTCTTGTCATGTAAAAATGTTCTTTTGTTCCAAGCAATTTGCATAGTTGCTGGTCACAGTTGCTTTGTAAGAAGACGTTTTGACAAGGCAGAAAAAAATATATAAAAAGTTGCAAGAACGTGAATAAATCGTCGTAGGGTTTATTTTCCAGTGGTATGGAAAAGTAATTACCAAAAAAAAGAAAGGAAATTAATGAATTTGAACAGGAGCAGGACTTCTCGGAAAACCCTGTATTGCTTCATGTACGTGTGTCCGCCACTTCCTAAGGTAGACTTTTTTCGGCCGCTGATCAGGGAACATACGGGACCTTATTTGATGTTTAGGAAAAGAGAGGGCGCATGTGTAATGTGGAGAGACCACTGACCTGATTTCCTCCCATTCCGTGACACGTGTACAGGCCCACTTGCTCGATTTTAGAGCCTTTCTCTCCAAGAGTGTCGACACAAAGAGGAAACTCACCATTGCGAATCTAAATTAAAACAGAATTGAGATCTTCATCAACAACGTACTTGCTTGTAACGAGAAAACAAATTTTAAAATACATTTTTTCGTCTGATCTTTCGTTCAGTACTTGTTGGTTACTTTTTCTTTACCTCGCCTTGCGCTGGGGGATTGGGGTCCACTGATGCTAGATCCGGGAACACGTTTTCTAAATACCATTTGAAGTTTTTACAACCCAGTCTTCTTCTGAGCTTGAGTCGCTCGCTAATGTCGCCAATGTCAACGTTCTTTTCTTCTTCAGATTTTCTCCTGCACATAAGGAATTTTTCAATGTTAGAAATGTAATCCCGGACTCAACAGAGAGTATCTCACCAATTTTTGAAGGAACGTAAATCTAGGACTTATCGTTTGGGGGAGACGTCCCGAGTAGCCGAAGGCGACGAGCTTCCTAATGGGTCCGGGGCATGCTCCCCGGAAATTTTTTGGAATGAATATGCGCTGAGATGCAATTTGGTGCATTTTGAGACAATTTTGAGAAATGTTACAGTGTGTGCACTGACCTCGTTGCGTCTGGATGATTTTTCTGATTTAGTTACTTAAATATATACCGTAATGATAACAATATATTTGGGGGGGAAGCGAGGCATTTTAGGGGGGGAGCCTCTACCCCTCAAATACCCTAGATAAAACGCTGTAAATGTCAGGGATAAATCTCAACTAAGAAACCGGTTGAGCAGCAGTTTCAAGAATGATTTCAAATCCATTTAATCCTTTCCAATTCTGTTCGACCGTTTATGCCCTTTTGGCTCTCCTGTAGATTTTTTCTATAGTTGATAACTGTTATTTCAATATTTTAGTTCATCCTTGGACTAGCCGATAAGTACAAAATTGTCTACCAATGCATTATATACTCAAAGAACCTATCAAGCTCCTCACTTTGTTTATATATTCCTTCTGCTATGACGCAGCTGCATGAAGAATGCATGAGCTGCGCAGTAGAATTCTCCAGAAGATCGTTTTCGTACCTGTAGTAAATCTCCTTGTACTCGTCCATCCATACTTCAGCTAAGCGGTTGAAATTCTTCGCTAGGGTCACTGCTGTTCCCTTGGGAAATTTATATGGCGATGTGTACTTACGGAAGACGTGACCAACACGTGAACAGGGCACTATTTCTAGTTGACCCCCACACATCCAGACCTAAAAGGTATTTTATAAAAAAGAAAGACGCGCGTTGATAGTTACAGCTTTTCTTAATTTTAGAGTATTTGAGATCTATTTTAAAAGAAGATCTAACTTTGTACTGGTTGAACACAAATACGCGTAATTCAACAACCACAAGTGTTGCGAGAGCAAATCGTCTTACAAAAGAGCCACTGGAGAGGTGGGGCAAACCCAGGTAAACTTAATATGATATCAGGGAAATAGAGTACCCCCCCCCCCCCCCCGTAAAAGTACTTTTCTTGTCTGTGTGCAAAAAAAAGCGCAAAACAAACACCACCAGGGTTTGGGGAGAACAAAATCTTTCAAAAAAGCGCCGGAGGGGGGGGGGGCAACCCACCGAAAAATAAAAAAATATAAGGGGAAAAGAGATCCCCCCCCCCCCCCGAGCGACAATTGAATGTAAAAGAACAGTCCCTAGATTATTATTATTATGTAATTAAGAGTGGCGCATTGAGTTAGGTCCAAATCTCTAACCCGAGAATGGCCCCCTCTTTCGATTTTTCGGGGTAACCTTTCCCCCTCACCCAATAGATGCATCAGTCACTTCTTCTCTTTCTTGGATAATGATTTATGCTTACTCTGAAAGACAGTTCCAGATTCTCCCCTCCCCATATGTCCATTTGGTCATCATATGTTCCCAGATCGTAAAAATATTGTTTATGCATCGAGAACAAGCCTCCTGCCATTGTTGGGCTCCTGAAAAAAAAATAATATGTGCAACGCAACATAGAATCAAATGAACACACTGAGAGACATCCGTGTCCAATATAAACCGTCGGAGCTATGAGTCAGATGGACTAAGAAAAAGTCTAGTCCTAAAACTGAGCAACCGGAAATGAGGTTCAGTGAAAAACATGGTGAGGATAAAAATTTTTGTCTTTTAAAGTCGCATCGTCATGGGCTTAATCGAAGTCTGGTCGTAAACTACAGAACCGGAGGTCTAGGAAACTAGATGTTAGCGCTGTCCAATGGCGTCCATTGGAGTGCACATGGACTTCTTATAATAATCAACAAACAACGCGACTTGCACAAGCTATGATGCGAAACAAGCGCGCTATGAATGTAAAGTGTCTGCTTAAATAAGTCTTTCCTCAAGCTATAGCGCGAAACCATCAGCCGACAAATTTTCCCGCGACTGAATGGCAACACGAATTCTGATTATCATTATCATTATCATCATTATTATGATTGTTATCATGATAATAATTCTTATTATTATTCTTAGCCAATCAGAGATTACCTCAAGTATTTGAAACACATTTTGGGTCGGTGGGTCGGTGGGTGACGAGTTTTGAAAATGGTTTCCTAGGAATTTGCTCGCGGGCTCAGCTAACTCTTGCGATCATCTAATAATTCATCTGTTAAAATGTTATGAAACAGAAGCAACGACATCAAATTCTAACCTACCTAATAAAGTCCGTTTCGTCCTTCCTTCTTTTTTTCTCTTCCTCTGGAATAGCTTTCCAAGTAAAAAACAAATCCCAGGTAAACCCACCGCGCTCATAAATGACGTCAGATGCATGGTATCCAAAGTCGTCCGCATCAATTACTTCTATTACAGGACAAACGACATTGGTACGATTNAATCAAGTATTTGAAACATATTTTGGGTCGGTGGGTGGGGAAAACAGAAAATGGTTGCCTAGGAATTTGCTCGCAGGCTCAGCTAACTCATGCGATCATCTAATAATTCATCTGTTATAATGTTAAGAAACAGAAGCAACAACATCAAGTTCTAACCTACCTAATAAAGTCCGTTTCGTCTTTCCTTCTTTTCTTCTCTTCCTCCGGAATAGCTTTCCAAGTAAAAAACAAATCCCAGGTAAACCCACCGCGCTCATAAATGACGTCAGATGCATGGTATCCAAAGTCGTCCGCATCAATTACTTCTATTACAGGACAAACGACATTGGTACGATTCTGCGCAATACGCGCCAATAGAGGCTCGAGCCATCCTTCTGTGGCCTCACAATGGGAGTCCAAGAAGGTCAGAACATCTCCCCGAGAAATTTCGGCTCCGCGCAACCGTGCTCGCACCAGTCCTTCTCGTCTTGGTATCCGGAGGATTTTCACCTTTCCGAACTGTCGCACTTGCTCTTCTAAAGGCTTCTTAAGGTTTTCTGTTGATTATGAAATCAGTGAAAATCCCATCTATCATTATAACATGACTACTATAGTACGCGCGCTCTGATTGGCTGCTGACCGGGCAAGTCTGGTATTGACCGGTCATTATGAAATTTTTTCTCTGCTCGGCGGCTCTTTTGAGCTGTGAGTAAACGCTACGTGCTCGAGGACCGAGACAACAAAAAAATGCCGAAAAAATAACTTTCTTTTCAATAACTGAAAAAAAACTAGCAAACCGATACTTCTTTAGTATGAGTGACGAAGAGAGCCACAGCGAGAGCGAAATTCATTATCCAGAGGAGGAAGAACTGCGCATAAAAAGACCATACAGACCTAGACCTTGAACAGGCCACGGTCTGAGATTTCCCTGTAATGACCTCACTCTCTCTCGGTTAATAAGTGGTAGGTTATCTAGTTTTCATGCTACCATGTTGATCTGACGGGCACACTTCTCCCCCATCTATTATCGCTCTTGCCTGATAGATTTTTCTCTAGGTTCTCTGTTTTTCCCTCTCCTCAACAGCCAATTTTTCCAAATTCTAGCTCCTAATCCGGAATGGTCATGTAGACAAAGAACTGCTGAATGCGCTACCTCTTAATCGCTTATTTAATCATACAAAAATTCGGCATTTATAGTTTGGCGTTTTATCTGCTCAAGAACACAGTTCTTGAAAGTGACAATAAAACCAAAGTAGAGCTACTACCATATTGAATATAGCTTAAATCTTTTTCACTGTGAGAGTAAAACTCAAAAGCGCGTAAAAAGCATTTTTTATCGGAAAGATAAAAGACATACTCTATTCAGCCGTGGGAAAAAACCTCGTTAGCCTGCGCATGCGTAACAGTCGTTTCCGTTTCAATTAAGCCACGTGGGGCAAGAACGAAAGACGCTCAAGGGCATTGATCAGAAAGATCACCTTTGACGCATGTAACTGCTCTTTATGTAACTGTTAGACTATCGTCAATATTGTACCTTTTAGAATCATTATCTGTAAACAATATCGTATCATGATGTAAATAGTTTAAATTCAATTCATTTCTTTTTGTTTGTTTTTAACCTCGACTCATTAGCTATTTAAGCTAGGAGCCTAATAAGCTCCAGACCCTCGAGTATAAATAAAGTTTTCAGTTTTTCAGTTCAGTATTGGGCAAAAAGGAGTAGAAGGTAGGAGGGGTGGGGAGGGGCTTCCTTTCCTTCCCCGCCCTCCCCCGCTCCGTTTATTTATTTATTTCTTCCCGCTTGGCTTAAGGTGACTCGACCCAGTTTTTTTGGGGGGGTACCATCCTACTTTGAAGCTCTCTGGTATCCACACCTTTACTTTTATCGTAAGTCTAACACATAGAATGGATAACATACAGATCAATCTACAATATAACATAAAATTTTTGGCGATCGGAGTAAATGTCACGTGGTTATAATGCCACGCCCCTTTGAGGTCTGAGTCGAAAATCTGCTTTTGCCGGCATTCTTTCGTGAAAATCTCTCGGCTACACATAGTGCGCATTAGTGCCTTGCGCTGAACAGAGTTTCACCAAAATGGCAAAGACCCAATTCGAGAAATTCAGCGGTTTCCAAATTTAGGTCATAATTTATGCGAAAATGATGAGCAAACTTTACACGGATTATATCTAATAAACTATGAGATTCATCTCTTTATTTTGGGCATCGTTATAACAGATGGGTCCTTGCAAGTCAGCAAAACGCTTTAGGGCCTTGTAAATGCGCGCGATTTCGAGCAAAGCAAACATATAGAAATTATAGTTTTCGCTATTTGTTGACGTTTGTCAGCGTTTAAGAGTCCTTCTCACGAAAAAAGCATTTTCTTAAAAATTCGTAGTTTTTTTTCCTTCAAATTTTTTCAGGGCCACAATTGATTAACTAACTACCCGGACTCTGAATTTCATGGTCATTGAAAAACTGTGACATTATCTTCTATAAGCCCAAACTTGAGTAAACATTGAAGATTTTTAGCGTTTTGGCTGAGTTTGTGCTTTGGGAGTTGTCTATTGTTTCTAGTCTGTCATTATACAGCATTCTTGTTCAGCACGCGTGCAATGACCACGCTTGGCTGACTTCCGAATGCTCACCGAGATATTCCCGTCACGAGTTGGTTTAATTATTGGCTTGCATTAAACCTATGAAAAAATGATATTTTTTTAATAGTAAGTAGATTTAGTGTGTAGCACTTCTTGATTTTTTTGCAAAGGCACAAGAAGCACGAGAATTGATTAAAAATTGTGACTTAAACCTCTATGTATCACGCGATGGCCTGTCTCACTGTACCAAAATTATTATATCTCGGTGAGCATTCGGAAGTCAGCCAAGCGCGGTCATTGCACGCGTGCTGAACAAGAATGCTGTATAATGACAGACTAGAAACAATAGACAACTCCCAAAGCACAAACTCAGCCAAAACGCTAAAAATCTTCAATGTTTACTCAAGTTTGGGCTTATAGAAGATAATGTCACAGTTTTTCAATGACCATGAAATTCAGAGTCCGGGTAGTTAGTTAATCAATTGTGGCCCTGAAAAAATTTGAAGGAAAAAAAACTACGAATTTTTAAGAAAATGCTTTTTTCGTGAGAAGGACTCTTAAACGCTGACAAACGTCAACAAATAGCGAAAACTATAATTTCTATATGTTTGCTTTGCTCGAAATCGCGCGCATTTACAAGGCCCTAAAGCGTTTTGCTGACTTGCAAGGACCCATCTGTTATAACGATGCCCAAAATAAAGAGATGAATCTCATAGTTTATTAGATATAATCCGTGTAAAGTTTGCTTATCATTTTCGCATAAATTATGACCTAAATTTGGAAACCGCTGAATTTCTCGAATTGGGTCTTTGCGATTTTGGTGAAACTCTGTTCAGCGCAAGGCACTAATGCGCACTATGTGTAGCCGAGAGATTTTCACGAAAAAATGCCGGCAACAGCAGATTTTCGACTCAGACCTCAAAGGGGCGTGGCATTATAACCACGTGACATTTACTCCGATCGCCAAAAATTTTATATTATATTGTAGATTGATCTATATGTTATCCATTCTATGTGTTAGACTTACGATAAAAGTAAAGGTGGGGATACCAGAGAGCTTCAAAGTAGGATGGTACCCTCCCAAAAAAACTGGGTCGAGTCACCTTAAAGGAAATGGGAAACGACTGCTACGCAAACTAAATGCTCGTTCGCATTATTAAACTTACCGTATTCACTAAAATCATCCACGAGGATAATATCTGCCAGAAGATGTGGAGGCGAACGATTGAGAACACTGTGTACTGTTCTTAGCAACACGGACAATGCTTCATTGTGAAAACAGACTATCACACTTGTAGTAGGAAGCTTGGTTGGGTATGTTTTGTGCTTCTCACGACATCTGAGAATAAAGAAGAAGAAAATAGGCAAGAAAGGAAGAAAATGAAGTTATACCTCTCAGTCTGAAATTGGTATCGTTTAGTGTTTCGAATCATATTAAATGAAAGCTATTATGCCGTTTAATGTGGTTCTAACTTTTAGTCTGTGGATAAAATTCTTAAGTGTGACTATTCAGTGGCGGTTCCAGACCTTCAGATAAGGGGGAGGTGGGGGGAGGGGCCTGGTCATCCAGAACCTGAGATAAGGGAAGTGGGGGCCAGTCTAAATAAAAATAAGGGGGAACTGGCCCCCCCGGGCCCCTCCCCTGGATCCGCCACTGCTATTAAAAAGAAAGATACTGAGCTGCACTGTCCTAAGGTTTTTCACTATTTATTATGCTATATAAAGTGGTTCTAACTTGTAAATCTGTTGTACGGATGAATTCCTAAAGTGTGACCATTGAAATGGAAGCTATTAAGCCGTATATTCACACGACCGCGGGATAGATTTTCGTGCTGACGCGAAAAGCTCTCTGGTTTTAAAGTATGAACACCCAACCGATATGTGACTCCCCACCTCAGAGATCAGCGCAGAGCAGCTTCGTTCCGTTACAGAAATCGCGCCGTAATCGCTTTTGAAATGTATGAACAGAAGTCCTACCTAGTATGGTTTTCGTGCCGGCGTAGAAGCTATCCAGTAAAGTGTTAGCATGGCCTAGATAATACTGTCCTGTGGTTCTGTTCAAGGTGGCTTTAATGGTAGGCTCTTCCAGTCTCTCAGAAAGAAGTCATAGTACAGACGGCGAGAAAACAAGTCAATTGAAAATAAGACAGGTGTGATGTGGAAAAAAGGGGCGGTGGCCCCGCGCGTTTTCCGATCACTTCACGTACTATCTTGGAACCTCTCCTTTTTTTCCGCCCCCGTCCCCTTTTCCTGCACGCCCGTCTTATTTTTGCTTGACCTTGTTTTCTTGACGTTCCTACTATCTTAGGATCTGGAACAGTCTACTCAACAAAAAATGAAAGCTACTGGGTAGTATTTTCTTGTGGTACTGTTTATCATGCTACACTATGTGGTTCCGTACTCAAGTCTGTTGGTGAAGTCCTATGACAAGTGTGACTTAAAAGTGTTATCGTACGCGAGCACCCTTACACGATCCCCGACGGTGGGGGATGGTACTGCCATATAGGGGTAGAACAGGTATGTGCTGCTGTGAAGGGTATGGTTTTCAGGCAGTGTACTCTGGGAAAAGGTACTGTAAAAATCAGAGAGTTTGGGTATCACCTTCCAGGAAACTGATCAATTGGTTTAAGATTTTAGCCTAGACTAGGGAAACGGGCAATTGCCACTCGAAAATTTAAATCAAATCGGTTTTTTGTGGCTGAACTGTGCTAATGACCTCAGTAGCTTCTGGAAAACAGCTACTCTAGGATAGTAGGAGATTTTGAGGAGTTTAGTCTAGTACTAGTATAGGGTAGCAAAATTCAGCTGAACTAGCTCTGGTATAGGCTAAGGCTTCCCGGGTCCCAGCGGCACATCCCCACCCAAAAATTCGTAAAGAACCCCCCCGCCCCCGGGATACGTCCCGAGGCAAATTTCGTACAGGGAAATAAACCAGGGATACAATACGTGGGACAAACGTTCACGCGAAACTTGAATTACTTACAGATATTGCTCTTATTACGATACCTGCTTTTGTTTCTTGTTTTAGTTTTATGTTCCGTCGGGCCAATTGTGAAAAACCGAATTGCGCAGCATGGCCCTTTGACTTTGAAATCGAATAACAAATGGGTAGATTTATGCAAAAATGTGTGTCCCGCCTCGATTTTTCATGCCCTTGCGTCCAATTTGTTTTCGCAACTTTTAACACTTTTGGCAAGGTCAAACCTTACTTACTTAGGTCCTCTGACATCCTTGAGTGTCCTATCAAGCGAAATGTGGTCGCTAAGTATCACGTTAAAGGAGTGATTATCAAACACGCGTTCAGCTTCTGTCTTGAACTGAGCAGGCAGCGAGGCAGGCTCTCCATTATCCCCTAATCCTGGGATAACCTCCTTAAAATAAGGTTCCTGGATTATAGACTCATCTGACCTCCTTCCGTGAGAATTTGAATTTGAGGACACGTCCTCTGGAATGAAAGACTCCGCGTCGAAAAGACTGAGCTGACTGTTCATCGAGGTTAAGACGTAGAGGATGTCCACCGCTAACCAGAAAAGAGAGGTCAAAGCGAAAACTTTGATAAACAGTCTTCGATTTCTCATAACTGTCCAAGATATAGCGTGATTCTAGAATTACTGATAATTGCACCATGTATTAAGTTTTAGGTTGATACGGGTAATACAGACGGAACACATCGGATCATTTTGTCGGTGTAAAGTCTCGCACCGTCTCCTCGCATCTCAGTTCTCCATAACTGAAATTTCAAAATAAACTGTTCCTTTCGCGGAGGGTGATAATGGCTTTCAAAGTTGAAAAGAAATTATTGAAGGTAGTGAACTACTGCGTAAATTATTCATGTAGAAAATCGCAGGTTAAACTTGCAGATCAGAATAGTGTTCACGCAGGTACCTGTGCTGCTAAACTGAAAAAAGAAAAGAAAAGAGGAACAGTAACGAAGCAAAAAAAAAAAAAAAAAAAAGATTACCTACTTTCCCAAGAGCGCTTCCTTTAAGCACTTTGTTTCACCCTAACGCTGAGAAAATTTCTCGATGATCGGGATAACAATGAATGGGACCAAGAATACATGATTGTAGTATGCACTTTTGGTGGGGCAGATTGTACACTTTCTATGTATGTATTTTTGCTTTTCTCGTGGACCTACAGAGGCCCTCGCACCCGGTTCGAATTATAAAAGGATTGAAAACAGTTAACATTCGTCATTACAGTCTGTTGTTTGGCCATTTCCTTTAGTTTAGCTAGTGAGAATTCAAGAACCGAGAAATTTTTCGCAAACTGCTAGTAGCTCCCACACTGCTACCGACGGTTATTTTAATAAAACTTTCACAAGTGTAATTTACAAGTGTAGCTATTGTTCGAGAATCTGAAAACAACAGCTGTACTTGTAAATTACCCTTGTAAAAGCTTAATTGGATTAACCCCGAGAATACTAAACTTCTAGGTTCCAGGCTGCTCGCCCGGTTCAAACAGACTGCATGGGCAATGTTCTATCGCACTTCGTAATAACACTTGTAGCACTTTGTAATAAACTTGAAATGGACGGTCGGAGGACAAGCAAACCCAATTATAAGTATCATCATCGACAACAACAACAACAACAACAACAATAATAATAATAATAATAATAATAATAATAATAATAATAATATTCCACTAAGCGGTTTTTGGCACCAATTTCTTAATTGGGGGCGGACGAAAGTGTTCACATCAACTGCGGCCTTCCGGCTTCAAGATCTTTGTAGGAAAGTACAAGTCTTTCTATGCGGACGACCTCGAGACCATGAGATAGTGGCCATAGACGCGAGAGTCCGTAGTGATGGGAGTTTGTCCTGGAATTTAGCTGCTATCCTTATTATCGGGTTTTCCATAAAAGTAAGGTGTCCTTGACTGTATAACTGACAGAACATGGGTTAAAATTTAGAGAATTAAATGAAGATGATTTTCCTGCGATTCAAGAAATGGGCCTCTGCTTATCTTTAGATCAGTTCCTACTGGTAGATTATAGTGGGCTTTGTTAGGGGTTAGGGCTAGGGATCACGTAAAATTGACGTTTGCTTTAGCGTACAGACAAGCATTGAAGACAATTATGATGAAAAAAAACTGTATAAAAGGGTATCGTATTCCATTTCAAACCCAAGCTGGAATTCGAATGGAAACTTTCACTCGCTTTCAAACTCCCACTGAAACTGAACAGGGGCTTAACCCCCCCTTCTTTGGTTCAGAAGTGGTGACACAAGTTTCCAACCCCGCACGAAGTTAATTAACAATTAATGAATGAGGCTGAGTATCTTATGAAGAATTATGGAGATCGAGGAGGGTGTGAATAATAAGGCAATTTAAGAATTCGGCAAACATTTGTCAGTGCAAATCATTTAATTTATTCAAAGACTGACGATGGCCTCATTTCTTGTTCGGTAGAACGGTTGTAAGGTTAACAACAAAAAATGGTAGTTTAGAAGACTGCCGATTATAACTTTAAACATCACTGGAATAATTCCCTTTTAGTGTTACAAAAACTATTGTTACGACGGCGGACTCAGTGTTTTTAGAATATTTTGACGGGAATTTGTCTTTTTATTCCTTCCAGAAACTGTAAGTGGGATGGGTAAAAGCTTTCGGCGCAATGATTTCTGGGATCATTTGGATAGATTTAAGAATATATTTGTAAATACGCTTATTTTAGATATAATCTTTTATCTATAATTTGTATACTCTATGTTTTACGTATTTTTAGACTTCCAATCTGTAAATGTAACTCAAGATACGTCTTTTTATCTTAGAGGAATAAAGATTGATTGATTGATTGATTGATTGATTGATTGATTGACGGGTGGACGACAAGCGTTAGTTATGATTGGTCGATGCTATTCAAGGCATCCATTAAGCAATCATAAGTAATGCTTGTCTACCCAAACAATCCCAGAAATCCTTGCGCCGAAAGCTTGTACCCACTCCCCTTATACTTTCAGGAGTGGGGAATTCTGGAAGTTGTACTCGGAGAAATATTCGGAGTCACTCCCAACTTCACGGTATATACGCTTCATTTCAGCTTTCCAAATGTCCAAATCGATAGTTACATCAAGATAACCAGCTTTTTGAATATTTATCTCCTGTATGTTTGTGTTCTATGCCTGTCTTTCTCACTGCCTCTGTGTTTCTTGTAGTCCGTAGCTTCCTTTTCACTGCTCTCGCACAAATGCCTTTCTTTATCTCTGCTCGTAGAATGACTGCGCGTTTCTCCGTAATGTCTACCTTTCTCTACGTTTCTGTGTTCCTTTGCATGTCTCGATTGCCTAGTATCTCCGTCTTTTTTACTCGAATGTCCACAGATTTCGCTATGTTTGTTCATCTTTTTAGAGTCTCTAGAATGTCCACGTTCTTCTTCTTCATACACCTTGTCACTCTCAGCGTCACTTTGATCTGCATCCCTCAATTTTCTACTCTTTTCGCTGTTCTTTTCCTTTCCTTTTTTCTTGCTTTTCCTTTCTTCCGAATCCGATGAATCGCTTCTTCTGTGGTGCTTTGTCTTGGTGTGTTTCTTGACCACTTTTTCGCCGTCTTCTGATGAAGAACTTCTGCTTCTTTTTCTTTTTTTCTTCTTCTGCTTCTTGCGGCCTCTCTGTGCGTCCATTTCTTCCCGTTCAAGTCGATCTAGTTTCCTGCGATGCAAAACAAAAAAGCAGCATATACAAAGAGTTAACGAATTTCTGCGAAGAGCGACAAATATAAACGGAATTTTAAAGTAAAATAAAACAAAAACAGTACCTAAGTAATTTCTTCTTTTGTTTGTCTGTAAGTGAAGCCAGGAAAGCAGCTTCTGCATCGTCTTCGCCTTCATCTTCAGATGCCACAATTTGCTGCAAACAAAAGTCAAATAGTGAAACATGATTACACATATTTATCGACAGGGTAAGCATAACCTCTTGCAAAATGTTCAAAAAGGAAGATGCAGTCAGTGTATTTTGTTCAAACTTCTAAAAAAAGGCAACCAAGAGGCAGATAAAACTGCCAAATTACAGTAATCGAAAAACTGAAAAGGAAAAAAATTGGTACTTGAGGTCAAGTTAACAAGGGGCGACACTCACGTACAAAGCCTGCCTTTTTAGCGTCGGTTAATGCAACCGCACCTACTATGCGTGCTGTACCAAAAATAGAACTGTCAAACCAAACTGATTTTCTGCGGTACGTAGTTCATCAGTTAGCTCCGGCTCATGATTAGCGCGGCCAAAGTGAAATTTGAAGGGTGCTGTACCTCGCTATTTTGGCTTTAAAGCTAATACGCTTCTACTGGGCTAAAGAAATCTAGTGCACGGATATTTCCAATGGTTTATTGAAAGTAATGTGTAGCGAACGTGTTGCTAAATAGGAGGTAGCGAGTTAAACAAGTAGCGAAACCGTTTGTTACGAAGAGAACTCCGCCAGAAAGGAGAGCCGCTCTTTACCTGATGGTCTACGGTCACCTCGCCACCAACAAAATCGCCACCACATAATAACTCTGCAATGATTGACACTGTTTACTTACCTCGGATTGATACTTCTTCCTCAAGCCCAAATATAAGTTTTTCGATTTTAATTGACACCTTGCGTCAAACTTCTCATCTTTAGCCTTATTTTTTGTGAATAATTGCGACTTTTTAATACTTTAATACGGCTTATCTGTATCGCTCGAGAGGTTAGCATGCGAAGACATCCGTTTCTCCTCGCTCTTCGCCGCGAGAGGTTCACTTTGTTTGAAATCCAACAGCCATTCTTATGAAAGTTGGTTAATATATTATTGTCACTTGAACCTTACCCCCTTAAATTTCATTGTAAATTTAAAGTGAAAGAATTCTTTTAAGAGACTTGACTTTTCGATAAGTATTAAGATATATATTTCTGGGTGGCGAGATGGTTTGGTGGCGAGGTGACAGTATACCTACCTGATTGGGGTCGCTTGGATCAAACACCCGTCCTAACACATTCTGTTTTAAGGTAAGTCCTTCAGTTTGCATGTCCTTTAGAAGTCTCATTGGATCTGCGATGTCTACAATCAAACGGCAACACTGCATTACTGAGGATTTAAAGACGTTTTGCCCACGAGTAATTTCGACAGCGTCCTGTTCGCCAACGTTTTAAGTCGTTTCGCCAACGCGTTAGGTCTCTTCCCTTCTTTTGTTTGCGCCTGATCAGTGGCTCAAAGAAAACGTCTCTTGAGCGAAAAAGCGGAAGGATTTCTTCCTGTCATACTTTTTTCATGTTTCTGGTTCAAATATATTCTAAGCATGCTGTTATAACTCTACTGGCTGACATTTTAGATCTTAACACCATATGTGACAACAATTTATGCAAACAAACCCAACTAGGAAATTTTTCCTGAAACGGTAGAAAGATGTAAGATCTTATACCTGTGATAAGACTCGGGTCAACATTGGCGTTTTTGCTCTTGTTGAACAATGGACACTGAAAAAAACAAAAAGGAAAACAATATTAAAAGTGCGCCGTATGTATGTGTCCTCAAGTGTGTACATAACAGAGAAATTGAAAAGACTGGGATTGATCAAGTTTTGTCCCTCTGACCCAAAATGACCTTTGATCGCAGACATGCCTTACATAAGTTCTCAAAATAGTTACCTCTTTATCGGTGTTAATGTGGCCCCATTTTCCACATTTAATGCATTTAACATTACGAACCTGAAAAAAGAAGAGCAGAGTCATAAAACAATGAAAATGAAAATATAGAAA